CTTAAGTTGAATCATCATTAAGTCGAGGACCATCTGTCTACATATGCACCTATGTTATTTGATCACTACCTGGTACATAATAGACACTCATTATGTGTCCAGTGAATGAATAAATGAGTGAATGAATGGAAGAATAAAAGGATGCTACCTTAGGAAGTTTTAAGAACAAATTATTCACCCTGAATGTTTTAGACCAGCAATAAGATCCCTAATCTTGATCTGACAAGGAGCTATTTTTTTATTCTCTAGTCTTACAACAGGTAAGGAGGGTGGTGGGGAGATAGGCAAGGGAAGGGCTTATGGGTTCTACTCTCCTGAGAAGATGGGAAGGCTTTATCCCCTGCTTAGAGATTAGCCAGATAAGACTGAAGGTTCTCCTGGAAAGACCAGTTTCCCTGCCTGGGTCAGTCTGGTTCCCAGAAAATGGTGGCTGCTGGATCCGGGGAGGGACGGGGGAGGCGGGGCTTCTTGCTCTGAATTTCTGATGCTTTATCAGCACAGGCTCTTTTCTCACTTCTCAGTTCTCCTTTATGAAGTGCATTTTCTCTGAGGGGAACACCACTTTCTCTGGAGAACTATTAATTCCCAAGGAGTAAGCCGTTGAAGCCTGCATGGGAACACCCACTCATTTGCAAATTGGCAAAAGAGTCTCCCACAAAGTAGAAGAAGGCTTGATTCAGGGCTTAAAGGAAACAATGGAGTCCATTTAACAAAGCCAACACTTAATGAACTCAAAACAGTGTGCTTTAAAAAATAAGTTAATAAAGCAGCCTTTTAAACTTTAACGCATGCTTATTAGCTTTATTTCTAAAGTACTATGTGTTACCATAGTAAGTGCTTCCTGGATGGTTTCTCATCATGATTCATCACCTATATGATTTCTGAGCTATGAATGAAAATGTTGATTGGAATTTTGCAAGTGGCAACCCCCTGGTGTCTGGGTCAGCTTTCACAAATCATGCAAGACCTTCAAACAGAATGACAACTCCTACTGCCTGGAAATTCATAAAAGAAAGGCACTGGAAAGACAAACTCACCTTTCAGATGAGTCTGCCATAAAAACCCCTTTACTGGATTCTTTCAAGATCCTGGGATTGTTCAAATCTTCCCATCGGTTTCGTTTCTGTGTTTTATGGAGAAATAGCAATACGTCTCAGTGAGAGACATTGCTTGGGACCCATCCCCCCAGGGGCATCCCTCTGACTCCATCATCATCTCTGGAAGGGGAGAGGTGTTGGAAAGCAGAGAAGGGATGGGGTGGAGCAGTGAAACAGTGGCTAATTACCAGGAAAAAATAGGAGTCTCCTACCTTTTATCAGAGCAAGCATCAAATACCGTTCAGCCCAAGTACATTTTGTCTTGTTCTGTTTCTTATGCAAATTCAACATCGAGAGAGCTGCCTGCCACAAAAGTTGACTACGCTTCCCCAACTTCATTCAACTTGCCTTTGAAAGGAGTATCATATACCTGATTGTTAGCTGGGCCCCCACCTCTAAGAAATTGTAGGCGAGATCTTATCATTATCAGGCTTTTCTAGAAATCAAAAGCACCTGCTCTTTGATAAGGGGCTTCTAAAGAGACAAATATTCCCATTAGAAAATGCCCAGAGTTCATACGGGAACACCAGTGACATGCCTTCTTAGCCTGAGGATACCAACCTCAGATGAACAAACTCAATGGCAGTAAACCTTTACTGAGCGCTTACTGTGGGCCAGGCCTTGTGCTAAGCAATTTACACGTATCATTTCATTAGGTCCTTGCAACAGCCATAGGAGATAGGAAGCCCAATTTTACAGATTTGGAAACTGAAGGCTTAGACAGGTCAAGTTACTTGTGTATGATCATACAACTGGAAAGGCGACAGACCCATAATCTCTAAATCACAACCTGTGCACCACTCAGCATTGATGACCATAATGTATATACTATCCAGTGATGACCCACTTCTAATGGGCTCCCCTCTTTGGATTTCCCAAGCAGAACGAAGCATAAAACAAGTTTTCCCTGATGCCCTGCCCCTTATAGAGGAAAATAAACCAAGTCTATGCAAAACAATTTATATTTCATTTAATAGTCTAAAACTATGTCATAGATATTATCGTATCCTTTCAGGAGAGGAGGAAATTAAGGCTCATGGAAGCTAAGTAACTTGCCCAAGAACCCACAGCTAGTAAATGGTATGGATGGACTTCTGGTCTCAGGCCAACAGCAGAGCCTATCTGCCCAACCTTACCCTATACTGCCTCACAGCATCTTATAGGTGTTTATCAGACATTTCCACTGGGAGACGAGAAAGGCTCTGATTTCCACTGCAACACTTTCCTTGAGTGAACTCTGCCCTTCCAGGTCAGAGACAAGATGTTCCTATTGACCTGCCTGGGCCAAAGTTGGCTGAAAGGAAAGATGTATTCAAAGGTGTGTGAGAAGAATCTTTTTGAAATAGAAACAACTATCCCAACATACGTAGAAGGGCAATACTGAGTTATCAGTGATAAACAATCATTATGTTGAATCAGAGGAGCCATTCTCTATGAGCTAGGCTGCTTCAGGCCTCTGTGACTTGGCTTATTTGGTAATTCCTCTGCCAAGCATCTTGATTTACCCCTTTTCCCATCTCTCCATCCCACATCCCATGTCCCCCACTCTGCATATCCCTCACCCTGTACCCAGTGCCTGGCACCATTGACTTGCCTGTGTCTTCCCAGTGCATGGTATACTGTTGGGGCTCAAATGTTTAAGGAAAAGGATGGAGGAAGAAGCACAGAGTTAGTGCTAAGCCCTAGGAAAGAGAAACTCAGAGAATTCAAACATATCTGTCAGGGCCAAGTGCCCTTTTTGGGCTCAGGAAGTAATGCCTGTAATGAACTGTGGAGATCTGTATAAGCATGCTGCTGTTTCCAGGCCACATGAAACTTGATCCAAGTGTATAGATTAAAAAATTATTATGTTCCACCCCCACTTTCCTTTTCAACCCATTTGGTCTTTATCCATAAAACACACATATGTATGCTATTCAACTTAGATACTTCTGTTAAATGAGTCTAGGATGTAACACATTGTAGTACTTTTCATTGATGAGAAAACAAAGCAATTCCAGGACATAGACATTCGCATGAAATTGTTCATTGTCTTTTCATGTAATCTATTATTTACCTACCACCTCACAGTTTACGAGAGCCTTCATTTCCTTGCTCTTCCACCCTGCGACGTAAGCCCAGGCCTATGGCTTCCATTTAGGAAGAAGGAAACTGAGTCACAGAAATTCTTAATGACTTGCCACTTGGCTACTTCCTCGGTTCTTAGACATTGTTATTGTAAAACAGAACACAACTTAACACTAGGTTTTTAGGAAGTAAAGAAACTCTACCATTTTACGTATACATATTGCTTCTAAAACACATCCCAGTGTTTCTTAACCTTCAATTACGTGCACTTGGAGGGAGGGATGTGTATCTTAAAACTAAGGAAACGTGGCAAGTAGCAAACAAGGATTTAGTCCAGTATTCTAACTCTGAGTCATTGTGTATTGGATGACTTAGATTCTCAGCTATATTGTAAAAGCCCTGCAGAGCAGGGCATTTTTTTTTTGCACTTTTTACATCCGTCTCTTGAAGGGCTTTACATAGGGGCTTCCACACAATAGACTCTCGATTGATAAAAAGAGCCTGTTTCCTCTAAAAACATAACTTAAAACAAACCCTGATTTTTCATTCTTGAATTTCTGGGTGTTAAAAATATCTTGGGTAATATATTCAGCAACTTCCCAGGAGCAGCACTTTATCTGTTATTTTCAGTGGGATCTTGCTGGGTGACTAAGGATTGAACCCTAAGATTGTCTTTCTAAGTGCCTTCCTCTAATATCATTGCTCTGGGAGACTAATGAACTTTAAAAGCCTGCAGATGTAAAATAAAAAGTGCTATTTCAGAATGAAGTTCTAGAGAAATGCCAGGATGACATTCTGGTTCCGAGTTTATTAAAAAATATTAGCGGGGGGCGGCGCCTGGGTGTCTCAAGTCGGTTGGGTGTCCAACTCTTAGATTTCAGCTCAGGTCATGATCTCACAGTTCATGAGACTGAGCCTCGCATCAGGCTCTACACTGACAGCACGGAGCCTGATTCATATTCTCTCTCTCTGCCCTTCTCTCTCTCTTTCTCAAAATAAATAAATAAACATTAAAAAAAAATTAGAGGGAAAAAAAACCCTTTAACATGTTTGCATTAACACAAACAACCTTTTTTTTTGAGTAGCAGGTGTAACACTGCTGAACTTGGGTCCTCTTTAGTTTAGTTTAGTTTAGCTTAGTTTAGACTACATATAAAAATAAGAATGGAAGAAAGCAAGACATAAAGAAAGAAAATTGTCACCTAGAGCTGTACAGAAATTAGTTTGCCTCCAATCCATTTTTGTATGAGGGGAAAAATTTCAACTTTTTATTCCAATCCTGGTTGAAGCAGTTAAAAAAAAAAAGTTTTTCCAACTCTGTGAAGTAAAAGAAATTAGATTCAAGTAGCCGTAACTGAGCTTCCCATCGGATTATTGTGCAAGGTTCCCTTTTCTTTCCCTCCACAGTGCATAATGCGTGTTCATTGTGATTTATCTGCAGCCGGTTTCTTTTACACCCTCGGCCGATATAAAGTCGAGCTAGGACTGAAGCCGGAGATTTGGGGAGCATCTGGGAGGCAGCCTCTACAGTCCAGAGAGAATGAAACAGTCAGGAACATGAGCAACCACATGTGACATAGACGTTCCTGGTGGTATGAACCCCCCACTTTCTGCCTCTCAGCACAGACAAGGAACCATTAAGAAAGGGGGACAGAATTATTGATCTCCCTTGGTAATTTCCCCCAAGACAGCGTGTGCTCCTTTATTTTCACCCTTGATTTTAACTTCTCACTCATGTTTCTGACCTAGAATGATCAAGGCTTGGGGTCTGACAGGACTGTGAACATTTGGCCAGCTTGGTTTGGCCGCCTCGCAGAGAGTGGGTTCTGAGAAGCAATGGTGATGAAGGCCTTTGTCCTACTGGCTGTGTTTGCAGAAGCTTCTGCAAGATCTTGCACTCCGAATAAAGCAGGTATGCCCTGGTGGTAGTCCATCTTCCTGGGAAGGAAAGTTTCCTGAAGACTTTGTTTGCAAAGTTCAGAGCACTGTGTCTATCTTGTTATCAAAATGCCATATCATAGTCAGGCAGAAGCAGTTAAGCTTCAGTGCCAACCAGACTTTTCCCAAAGGAAGTAAAAATGTATTGGATAAACATGGATTTGTTTAAAATTAGAGAGTCCTAGATGGATGGAGGGATGGATGGATGGAGGAATGGATGGAGGGATGGATAAATAGATATAAAATCACTACTGGATTTCTGTTTCCTATTTGACTATTGGATTTCTGTCCTGTGCTATGAATTAGTGTTTCATGATGTTATGCATGAAGAGGACATTTTTAAAAATTGTAAGTTACAGGCATGGGCATGGAAATTTGTGTATATTTCTAAATTTATACATATTTCTAATCTATTCAGTTGTTTTTACAGATATATTCCTTAAAATAGATTAAAGCTTACAGGGGACTAATTTTGAGTACTGAGGTTTGGGGAAAGCGTTCATCACAGCTCACGAAAGATAATGAGGAAACTGTTTCTAACCAAACTGCTGTTCTTTATGTAGATTAATATGATGACCATATCTGATTTCAAACCATGTGTATCCTCTTTCTAGATGTCATTCTTGTGTTTTGTTATCCCAAAACCATCATCACCAAAATCCCTGAGTGTCCCTATGGCTGGGAAGTACATCAGCTGGCGCTTGGTGGGCTATGTTACAATGGGGTCCATGAAGGAGGTTACTATCAATTTGTGATCCCAGATTTGTCACCGAAAAACAAGTCCTATTGTGGGACCCAGTCTGAGGTAAGTCCAGGCTACACAGTGAAGAGTTGCTAAGATAAGGCAACTGGGCCCCCCAAATAAGATGACTGCTGTCCATCCACCCTTCAAAGGATCCAGAACTCAGCCATTTCCTTTAAAAAAAATTTTTTATGTTTTTATTTATTTCTGAGAGAGAGAGAGAGAGACAGGATGAGCAGGGAAGGGTCAGAGAGAGGGAGAAACAGAATCTGAAACAGGCTGCAGGCTCTGAGCTGGCTGTCAGCACAGAGCTTGACATGGGGCTCGAACCCACAAACTGTGAGATCATGACCTGTGAGCTGAAGTCAGACGCTTAACTGATTGAGCCATGCAGACACCACCACCCATTTCCTGTTAAGAGTCAATCCTGACATTTATTTCCTGGGATGTTAGTGTTATTTAAGTTCTTCTCCTCTGTCCAGTTTAAGTGACTCTTTGGGTTTGAATTTCATTCTCCTAATTTGTTGCCTAAGCAAAGTGGGTCACCTTCTGTGAGTAGAACAGCGTAGATTTCCTACCTCCACTTTGCTTTGAGTTCTGAGCATGTGCTCACAAGGTACCTTCCTTCCAGGTTGGATGGTGGGGCATCCTCTGCCTGAGACTTTGAAGGGGTGATGAAAGGCAACTAGAAGGGCATTTTAAAGAAGTAACTATAGTATAACACAGTTCATGATTGGGTCTCATGAAGGACCCAGAACAAGTAATCAGAATTAGAAGGAACCACAATCTCTTGCCAAATATCCTTATATGGCAGAGGAGACATTAGAGACGCACAATAAAGTCACTGTTGGGGGCCACAGAACCAGTAGGGGTGTGGTCACGAAGGGACACTGCTCCACTGCTGACCCCTAGCGTTCCTACTGCCTTGACTGCATAAGATTGTACATAAATAGGGTCTCAGCAAATGAGAGCAAAAAGCACCCAAGGCCATCTCCTCTTCCTAACGGCCCCACAAGGGTTCAGTGATTTAGAGAGTCATGGGCATGATTAACAGAAGCATCATGCCTTTGAGTATCCCGAAAGAGTGAACTAGAAATCATCTGTGTGGTCTTAGGCAGGTCACCTCTCACACGGATGTTCAAGATTCATCCCAGCTTCAATATTCTGTGATCTTGGAGTTCAGCAAGTCAGAGGAAAAAGTCGCAGAAGTAGTACTTATTACTGGCAGAAGGAAAAAGCAAATGATGAGATAATAATGTTCTAGAAATGGGAGATGGGCAAAGGCATTCAGGTAAGATTACTTGGACAGGGGAAATGGATAGAAAGGTGATGCTGGGAAACAGATTCTTTGGCCAATTCTTTTTGGTCAGAAGCCCAATGGGTATATGGATTTCTTGTAAGTGTACAGCATTCAACCCAGATTATTTTCAACAATTTTATGAACACATTCAAGAACTCTTTACAGAAATTATCAGCCCACCCACATCAAAAAGAGGGGGCACTGATGTCAATGACTGGCAGACATTGACATCTTCCTATTGGTCTGACCATCTTCGATCACTTTTTCCAGAACCCTCATTCCCATCATAGGGTCCAGGGCCACCCTAACTGCCTTCTTCCTTTCTCCAGTACAAGCCCCCCATCTACCACTTCTACAGCCACATCGTTTCCAACGACAGCACAGTAATCATAAAGAACCAGCCCGTGAACTACTCTTTCTCCTGCACCTACCACTCCACCTACTTGGTGAACCAGGCTGCCTTTGACCAGAGGTAAGTTGCTCTGAGAGTGGAGGACTGGCTGCCTTGTGTGTGTTCTGCAGTCCCTGTCAATCAGGCATGTTTCAGTCCTTATGCAAAATTCTCTCCCCTTTTCAGAGTGGCCACTGTTCACGTGAAGAATGGGAGCATGGGCACATTTGAAAGCCAATTGTCTCTCAACTTCTACACTGTAAGTGGTCTCCAGGTTCTCATGAGTGCCCTGTGGCCTTTCCGGGAGATGACGGGATGCTCCCTCCAAATCTGCTATTCCCTAAGCTCTATGCAGAGCCCTATTCTTGAATTCAAATGAAGAGATAAGCTTTGGTCTAGTTTTAAATCTCTTCAAAGCCTAGATGCAACAGAAAGGTAGATTCATAGACTGGTTAGAGGGGCCGAGAAAGGTGACATAGAGATATAAAGTTAGCCTTCCTACATTTTGAGAAAACTGAGGCAAGAGAAATCCTATGAGTGGCCAAAGGTCAATAGGCAGTAAGCCAGTCAATATCTTACTCTTAAGCAAGATTAGTTTCCACTGCAATCCACTCCAGAGATTTATATTAGAATCCAGCTCTTGTTAAAGCATTTGGCACAGAGTAGTGACCTCCCTACTCAGGACAGGGCCAAGGGAGAGGCTGGGGTTGCCCTCTACTGCCTAGTTCTTTGGTATCCAAAGCCCTTCAGAGAGTGGGCTTCCTCTTGGTCTAATTTGGGCACACTGCCTATGTTGGCGTTGAAGTTCAAAGCACAACTTGGTCTCTCAGAATAAAACTAAATATGCCATGGCCATTAGCCCAGCAGCCCTCCTGTTTAGAAGGGGTGTTTTGTTTTTTAAACCTGCAACTTCCAATGAGGAGGCATACTTAAAGTGACACTCCAGCTGGCTGGAGGAAGATGCGGGCAGAAATAGAAACTCTTACATAGAACATTAGAACTGGGAGATATCTTTAGAAGCCATCACGCCCAATCCATTCATTTCACAAAGAAAATGACTATATTACCTGGAACTCCACTGACCTTGAACTCTCTGACCTTGCTTTAATTGGTAGCCTGGAAGCTATCAATCCAGCTGAACTCAGAAGGTGAGAGATCCTCTCAAAGGGATCCTAGGGCTACCTGATCCAGTTTGTAGATAGAGATCTGAATCCCAGGAGGAAGAAATGATGTTCCCACAATCCCACAGGTACTTCAGGGTGATGCCCAGTCTAGCAAACGGATCTCTCTAACACTGCTTTCTGAGGCTTACTTCCTAGGGAGGGGATAGAGCTTAAGTTTCATGACCTCTCTCTTGCACTGTCCTCCTTTAAGGCCCCGGGCCTGATTTCATATTCAAAATTTTGATTCTTTTTATTAGAAAAGACTCTGTAAATTATAAAATCTTTGAAGTCCCAAAGAACCTAGATCTGCCCCTGACCACAAACCACTGGTGGTTAAGTCTAAGGAAAAGGAATCCCATTAGCCCCTGGACCTATAATCAAGAGAGTTAATGCTATGTGGACTGGCAGGGACATGAAATGGTGGCAACAGCTTTGCAGTAACTGGCGAAGGTTGTCCAGAGACAAAAACAGGTTCACTCATTAACAACAGTCTCAGAGGACATCATGGTGATAGGCTGTCTTTACTCCTGAGTCCCTGTCCAGAAGTGCATGATTGTTACTTTAACCAGATAAAATTATAGATATGATCCTATGAAGATTTTATAAAATTAGCAATATAAAGGCACCAGGATTAGCAAAAATCATCTCCCACCATCAGCCATGCTGGGCTAAGTTTCAGATATAAATATCCAATCTTAGAGCTGTAAGGAACCTATACTTTTTTAAAGAAAAACAATAAGAGTCACATCCTCATCATCACCCAGACCATCCTCTGGGCCGGATAGACGGACTTAACAGGACACTTCCTTTAGCTGTTCTAGAAGTGAGGCTAAGGCATTCCCTGGGGCCCATTAAGACCCTTATAGGACAAACAGACCTCAGCAAAGAGGGAGTCTGATGTTGCAACAGAAACTTTTGTACTGATTAATATTCCTACCATAGGCTGGGTTTCCTATGCCTGACCCATGCGGCTGGTATTTTTCTTCTCCTCCCTTCTCCCGCTTTGAGAGCATTCTTGTGTGTTTCTGAAGCAACAGCTGCTCCCTGCATACATTTCCATCAAATTACCAGAGACTGAGCTGTGCCCTAGATTGCACAAAGGAATCAGTGCATGGCCAGTTGCTTAGGATTCCAGGGGCTCTAAATGCTGGGCTCCGAAACCACCAGTTCTACTCAACATGCTTCCTCTCTTCTCTCTCTACCCCCTCTCACTCACTCCTGCTAACAGCCCACAGTTAGTGTTCTTAGTGAGAACTTATTTTGGCCCCCAATTCAAAATAAAGGAAGGTGGTCAGTTTGCAGGAGTAGACTAGCACTGTGTTTAAGAAAATAGGCTGCCATTGACCTACTGGTTTAAAGTCTAGTTCTACCACTTATTAGTTGTGTGACCTTGGGTAAGTTAGTGAACTTCTTTAGGCCTTCATCTATGCCCTTGTTAAATAAAAATAATAATAGGACTTACCCCATATGTTTAATATGAGGATTAAATAATTTTTTTTTTTCTGAAGCACTTACCTGTACACTTACTTGTACCTGGCACAAGGTAGGTGCCTGTCAAAGTAGTAGCCAAACTCATGTTTGGGGCCTGTGACCCCACTTAAAGCGAAAGTTCTGAGAACTCCTAACACTGGCAGTTGCCATTATAGTGTTGTTGCCTTTAGGCCATCAATGTCAACATGGGATTAGGTTGACTTTTGTTCAATCAAAATAGTATTGACCATTCTTCCTTGTGAGATTGAGACCAGTGAAGAGGCATGGGACAGAATAAATGCAAGCCATAGAGGCCAAATTCATAGACTTCCAAAGTCAGAATAATCTTGAGAGGTGATCAGCCTTGACCCTGCACCCAAAGTCCAAAGCCCTTCTGCAAGATCGCTAAGGGGTGGGCTCCCCACCCCTTCCAAGGACAAGGGCAAGTTGGCCCTTCCCATTTTAGATCAGCATGCTAAATATGACATCCTGAACTGTAGCCCATTACTCATGGTTCTGTCTTCTGAAACAATACTGAGTCATGATGCTGCTGACATCCCTTCAACTATCTCAGACTTGCCTTCCTCAATATCTCTCCACCATTAGTGCTCCATCCTTCTCCTCCTCCATCTTCTCTGAGAACGGTCCACTTGGCTAGTGCCCTTATTAAAAAGTGGGGCCCAGAATTGAAATGTTATATTCTAGACCTTGTCAGACCTATGCAGGGCACAGAGGCTCAGAGGTGATCGTCTCAGTTCTGAAAGATTCTAGGAACATGTTCTGGGATAATATTAGCTTTGCACAGTTTTCTTTCATTTCTCTCTCACACTGAGCTTGTGAGCAACAGCCACTCTCAGATCTTGCCCACATGAACTGCTGTTAAACCAGATGTACCCATCCTAACCGTGTCAATAGCCAGTTGTGACTCCATCTTTCCACTTCCTCCTTGGACTGGAGGGCATGATTTTTCAAGGTGTTCTTACATCCTGTTCAATGAATGGGTAATTTTGGTGGTGTTTCCGTGCCTCCAGGAACGCCAGAACAAACAGTCTGGGTATTAAAGGACGAAGCTATCTCAAAATAGGTCCCTAACTCATGTTCTAAAGAAAGTAGGAGATCACGCTGAGAATTGCCTCAGCTGTAAGGTGAGTGGTGGGGAAACTCACCATTAAAAGTGTTTTGTTTCAGAAATGGAATTAGCGGTGCAGATTTTCTTCTCCATTTTGTAACAGAACCACACTAGTTCTGTGAGTAGAGGCACTATTCCAATACCCGCAACATGCTGTGGGCTGGTCCCTGGGAGACGGGTGGGAGAGGCATCAGTGACTACATTGGGGACTGCAGTGTGGTCCCCAGGTTAGGCCCAATGTTTGTAAACAGTCTCTTGAAATATGACAAATCTCAAAAAATAACAATAAACAGGAACAACCATTATCAATCCGCTGCTTCAACGCATATTGTGCTAGTAAATCACTTACGATTAAGAATGTTATCGTTTTAATTATTGCAACCATTTGAGTGGTGCAGGGGGTTGACTGAAAGAAAACAACTGGCTTCTAGGTGACTGAGTCAGGGAGCCCTAGCTGGACCTGAAATCAGTGAAAAATGTAGAAGCCCCTAGTGGATGATTCCGAGACCTCTTAGAAAAGACCCTGAATTTGACCCTAGGGGGTTAAAGTCCATTTTCATTATATATCCTTGCTGCCACTATTTACCTCCAAGTCCCTGAAAGTCAATCTTTTAGCGAGTATCCTGGCTGAGGCTTTATGGTTCTATTACATAAAATCACAATCATACAAAATATTTCTGCAATTGCAGATGGGGAAACTGAGGCCCAAAAGTCTGATTCACCTGTAAGTTAGTGGGGGGAGCTAGAATTAGCCCAGGATCCTTGTGCTCTCATTAGGATGCTTTTGTCTCTGGAGGCTAAACTCAGAGAGTAGTTAAAGGTTGGTACTAAAGTTGAATGAAATCAAGACAATGAATGGAGAAGTAGGCCTTCTTGGGGTAAGTCAACTGGACACACTATTCTTTTTCTTAGTAACTCACCCAGAACTGCCTGATGAAGTGAAGACCACACACACACACACACACACACACCAGTGACAAAAGACTGCGGCTCCTGTGCTCAAATGGTGGTCTTGACTCTCTGTTGCACTTAGAGTTGAAACCACATTTCTGGATCCGTTCCCATAGCTCTCCCACTTTCCTGCCCATCCCTTGCACTTCCTACTTCCCCTGCCCCCTTTCCTCACACTGCCCAGCATCTCGGCCTCCTTGCTGTCCTGACAGCTACACTGTCTCCCAGGGCTTTTGCCTTGGCTGGAACATTCTTCCCCAGATGCCTGCATGCACTACATGCACTATAGAAGCTTTTTTTTGTTATCATTACTTATCCTTCTAGCACAGACTCTTTTGCTTCCCTCAAGCCATGGCTCACATGTCACAAGTTCAATGAGACCTCCCTAACTACTGTACTTAACATTGTAACTTGCCCCTCCAATTTACCATATCCTGCTCTACATTTGTTACAGTTTTCCCATATTCTATATATAGTACTATATTCTATTCTAACATATGTAATTTACTTACCTACTGTCTATTGTTTGCATCCCTTGCTAGAAAGTCAGGTGGTTAGAGACAGAGACCTTTGCTTTGTTCTCAGATACCTCTTTATGAGAGACTACCCCAATATGGAGAGCAGGAGCTGATCACTTAGTAGGTGATCAGTAGGTGGTTGTCATTGCTGTTGTTGTTAACTATACTGGAATCAGATCATATGCTTTCTGACCCAGGCTGGGATCTGCTTGCGCAAATAGTGGAGGTAAGCGAGAGCAAAGTGGGGTTGTGTGTGTTTCACCCTTATCCCCATGGGTGATTAAGTAAGCTCAGTGCTTCAGCATTCTTGGATTCTACCTTTTTTCCCATCAGCCAAATCTTGTTCCTCATTGGCATAGATGAGACATACAATATGTGTTGTCTCATTGTGACCCGCAAATCCAGAGATGTGATATCCTCATCCTTTCTAAGATGGTACCAGCATCCCAGGAGGTATACCTTCTCTAGTCCTGGAGGGTCTCCCTGTGTCTCACATGCCTATGACTTTTGGGGAACTCCCATCCCCACTCTACCCCAATTCATCTGTTCCTGTCATGCCCAATTGCTCAGCCTGAGAGGTTGTAATGCCCAGTGTCAATTTCCTTCTAAAGAATGCCAAGTTCTCCACTAAGAAGGAAGCCCCCTTTGTTCTGGAGACATCTGAAATCGGTTCGGATCTGTTTGCGGGAGTAGAAGCCAAAGGGTTGAGCATTAGGTAAGTATATTTCCTCCATGTTTCTGTTTTTAAATCCAAAGAAAAGAAAAAAGATCAGCCAGGAGACTTTTTAATTGCCTGATGTTTCTAGGCATACAACTCTCTGGCTCAGAGTGATGTATTTTATTTCATTGCCAGGTTTAAAGTGGTTTTGAATAGCTGCTGGGCCACACCATCGGCTGATTTCATGTACCCTTTGCAATGGCAACTGATTAATAAGGGGTGAGTATCACTTTCTGGAGTACAGTGAAGAAGAGGGCCAGGCAGGTCTAAGGCTACTTTGGTTGGGACAGCTTGGGAGGAAGAGGTAGAGTCTCTTAGGGTCACATTAGTGACACCCTCTGTGCTTCCACCCTGAGTACTGATGCTAGCAAACATTTATACAGTGCTTTCTGGGTACCAGGTACTGTTCTGAGAGCTTTATTGTGTACTAACTCATTTGCCTTGCAAGAAGTAGTTATCACTACCATTCCCATTTTTCAGGTGAGAAAACTGAGTCACAGGAGGGATTAAGTAATATAACATACTTTGTGTGTGTGTTTATGAGGAAGTGAGTTCAAATCCAATTAGTCCGACACCAGAACCCTGGTGAGAACTCAATTAGATAATCCATATAAAACGTTTAGCATGTAGTCAGTATCCAATCAATTTAAATAACACCATTGATTTTTATTATTAATTCAGTAATTAATGAAGAGTTCTTAACATTTTTGAATAGAGGACAAAAATATTGAAGTTGTACAATAGAAAGATAATTTTGGAAGTCATCCACAGGATGATTTAGAAGCAGGACATGGGAAGTGGAAAGACCAGATTGGGCCATGGCCCAAACTGAGGTATAGCCAAGTGAATGGAAAGGTCATCCAAGGGAGGGAGAAGTGATCAAAATTTAGCAACCAATTGGATACAGGGTGGAGAGAAGGATGGGGCAAAAAGCCTGACAAATATGGGACATCAAACCTGTGGGTTCTGAACGTGAGGACTGTTTTCTGTTGGTTGCTAGGGAAGAAGATTTCTGGCTAAGGGTGTTGGGTTCTCCTTGACTTTGGGGATGACATAATGAGCTTGAGATGACAATTGTCTGGAAACACTTAGAATTGTAGCTTTGAAAACCAGAGGACAGGTTGAGCTAGACCAGAGATGCTGGCATCATCCACACCAGGAACCGTAAATACAGAAGAGATCATTTCTGAAACCCAAGCAGACACGCATGTCCATGCTGTCACCAGAACTCATCTGAGCTAAGCAAACATTGGGGCCCCAGACAAAAATGATTAGATAAAAGGGTAGATCCACCTTGGACCTTTATTTATTTTTCCTTAACTAACAATTATACAGCACTTACAACAGACCAAAAATGTTCTAGGTAGATGCTCTACAAATATTAGTTTAGTTAAATTTCATCAGTGGTGCCTGGGTGACCCAGTCAGTTAAGCACCCGACTTGATCTCAGCTCAGGTCATAGTACCACATTGGTGAGATTGAGCCCTGTATCAGGCTCTGCACTGAGCATGGGGCCTGCTTCAAATTCTCTCTCTCCCTCTCCTTTGTCCCACTCACTCTCTCTCTTTCTCCTCCTCCCTAAAATTACTTAATCTCATCATCCCTCCCCTTCATAAAGTAGGTAGTACAATAAGTACTATTTTACAGATGAGAAGCCTCAGAGATAGAGACTGCTTCAGAAACTTGCCTAAAGTCCAGGATCAGTAAGGAGATGGCTGATCTGGGGTTCAAACTCAGGCAGCATTATTTCCTGAGCACTGTAGGTAGGACAGGCCAACAGAATCACATCTAAGCAGCCCAGCAATCTTCCTGCAGAGATGGGAGCTTAATTTGGATGTCACACCTGTCACTGAATGATTCATTTAGGTTCTGTTGACAATGGCGCAATCAAATGATTTCAGGGAGATTGTGAAATAAATTCTTGACCTACAGGGACCTGAAATTTTGATTAGGCACTGGCCACACTGGGAAACACCTGCCATACCACGGAAACATCTTCCTGCAGATCATTCTGGCACTGCTACTCCCAGCTGACAGATGTGCAAAATGGCAGAAAAAAGGAATGCGTGTGACCTTGTGGTAGTCAATACAGGAAGTGCTCAGACTGTGTGTATACAGGAATTACACACCCGAGGTGCCTGTTACACGTGTAGGCTCATAGTTAACCTACCCCATCAGAGGGTTCCTGGGTAAACACTGGGAACCCTCATTTAAGCAGAGCCAAACTGAAGAAGGCCTGACTCTAGTTCCATATTCTGCTCTGCTGAAATGTCAAGGGGAGCAAGGAGAAAGTCCACTCCCATAATCTCCCAGATATTTTTGGTTCCCACTGGGCCCTTTTAGAGGAAAACCCAGCTTTCAAGAGTGCCTGGAGAGATTAGAAGAGATATATTACTCTAAGGAATTTTGATCCTATGTGGGGAAGGAGACTCTGGGGTGATGTCATGGCCTCCTTTGGGGGTCCCACCATCCCTAGATGTCTGTCAAAGAGGAGAAGGTGCCAAGAGGCGGCAGAGCCAAGACATCTAAGCCTGCCCAGGACTTGCCTCCTCCCCACCCCCAACAAAGCTCTGCTTACATTGTGTTCCACTGGCTGACACCATGTCTGGAACACTCCAGCTGCAAGGAGCTATTTTAAGGACTCACATCTTGAGTTCATGCAAGGATCTCAGGTTTATTGACCAAATGATCCTCCAAGGTCTTGTTTCACAACTCGGAAAATGCCTCCAGCTCTGTTAGGACTCAGAGGTCACCCCAAACATGGCCCAACTTCTGACCCCTGGTCCAGATATGAGGCACACTGTTCACTTCTCTCAATCATTAAAGCACAGAGTTGACATTCCTTCAGTCCTACCTCTAATTTGCCCCCCTGATGTCTGATTTTGATGGAATGGATGGAGGAGGGCATATCTCGAAGGCTCTCAGGTAGCTGGGTGGCTCTTCAGTATGTGTATACTGAGTTGGATTGACAATGGAGTCAGAGATATGCTCCGGGAGGGGGGCATTAACTTTGGGGTCCACTGTGGTTTTTGTCTACTGGTCTTAAGCTTTTGGGCCCATAGACCATTTTGCACAGAGGACAGACTCTGGTGTTCCTTGTCACCTAAAGACAACAATTTCCAAAGCTCATATGGGCCTCACTGTACATTCCCAAGAATGATTGTGTCTGTTCCTAACACTCTGTTAATGTCTGGCACTTAAATAGGGAGGCAGCAAGTGTTCTGTAAATGAAAATGTATTTGGCTTAAACCAAGTACAGTCCCAATACCAATGACATTTTGGGCTGGAACCTTTTTCATGGGTGGGGGGCTGTCCTGTGCAGCATACAATGATGTGCAGCATCTCTGGCCTCTACTTACTACATTCGGTAGCACCTTCCCCCTGTCATGACAACCACAATGTTAAATGCCTTCAGAGGGCAAAATGGTCCCCAAGTGAGAGTCATTTACTTTTAGGCAATTTGACAAAAGCCCATCTGTGTCATTATTTCTTCTTTTATTGCAATGATTACCTTTGGGACTTTGGAATTTCCCGAATATTACATTTTCATTGCAGAGAATTTAGAAAATATATAAAGATATAAGAAAAAAGCAAAAAACTGTCCATAATTCTACCACTCTATAATAGCCAGCATTAATATTTAGATGGTAATCTTCCAGTAATTTTTTTTCTAAGCCAATATTAGAAACATGACCAAATTTTTACAAAGGTAACTATATAATATAGAATTTAAATAATATAACATAAATTCAAATTCCCAGTGGCAAACCCTCATAATATACACAGAGAAATATGTTGGGTGTGACTTGGCTTAGGTGGCTATGACAGTACTTTGGAAATGCTGTTCTCAGCACCAGGGTCTTTATCTTGTACATATACCGGGAGTCTGTACCTGCCCCAGTCCCTCAGATGACTTCATCTCTCAAGGATTTCCCTTCTTGGGGACAGAGGTATGGTGACTTACAAGGTATACAGCTTCTCATAAGTCACTCCTCTCCACCCCTATAGAATGAGGACCAGCACACATATCCCATAGCTCCTCAAATTGACCTCATATTATGAGGGTAAGGGAGGTGCTGCCAGTCAAAGAACTTTGGGGATAAGGATAATGTACTGAAGAGAAGCTCAAGGGACTGTTGCTGTTGTCTATGAATTTACCTCAGAAGACCTTCCTGGAGTTCATGGGGTAATTTTTTTCTCTCCCCCTGCCCCATCTGCTCCAGCTGCCCCACGGATGAAACGGTCCTTGTACACGAGAATGGGAAAGATCACAGGGCCACCTTCCAGTTCAATGCTTTCCGATTCCAGAACATCCCCAAACTCTCCAAGGTTTGGTTACACTGTGAGACATTCATCTGTGACAGTGAGAAGCTCTCCTGCCCAGTGGTGAGCCACCGGTCTCCAGAAGGAGATGTGACCAGAGGTGGGGATAGGGGTGGGATTTGAGAAGCTCTATTTTTAGCTGGGAATCATAACCGGACCAGTGTATGCATGTGCTGAGGGCATTCTGGAAGAAAGGGCACTGGGTGTGAGAGCAGACGTTGGGCTCTGCCTGCTTTGCCATGGACAAGCTACATGGTCAAGCACATGTCAATCTCTGGAGCCTGGTTTTCTCATCTTTCAAGACAGTGGTGATAAGTTGTGGTGGCCCTTACCTTTTCAGAGAGCCCTGTTAGGGGAAATGAGCACAGTGACAGATATGGAAATACTTTGCAACTGTTAAGCACAAGGAAAATTCAAAACCTAAGTGGTAGCCGTAGGCACTGGATGGAAGTCAAAAGGTGGGTATTTTTAGCTCTTGCCCGGCCAGCCCGAGGGTCCATCTCTGGGACCTGAACTAGAGAGATACTACAGAAATTCCCAACACGGGTCACAGCTGAACTGACCTTGGGAGAGGAAGGGCCTGATGGTGGGGCTCCTGCTTCACAGCCACGTTCAGTGCAGCCCATGCGGGGGGTCAGTTTTCCCTTCTGCATCACCCACTGAGAAGCTGTTGCCGAATCCATCAACAGGCATAGGGAGTTCGGCTGGGAGACGGTCTTCCGCGGCTGCCAGGGGTGAACTTGGTCTTTGAGCAGTGGCTTCAGGCAGCCTCAGCATCACCTGGGGGCAAGCTAGGGAGGCAAATTCTCACGTTCCTCAGACCACCTGCTTCAGGAACACTGGGTGGGCCTATAAATCTGTGCCTTAACAGACCTCTCCAGGTGATTCTGAGGCATGCTCAGGGTTGAGAACCACTGCCTTAGACCTAAAAGTGCTAAATCACAGAGTGCTGCCTGCTCTGGTCTATTTGGATTAGAGACTCCAGTGAGGAGGAGCACAGTGTTTCTAAAGAGGACACCTGATCAGAAAGCCTGTTGAAACCAACCAAAATAAGAGTATAATCTATATTTCTACTGATTTGCTTAACCGCAAAATAGGTCAGGTAGGAACACAAATGAAAGGGAGGGAGCAGAGATACTTTACAGTCAATGAAAGGATAATTATTGGTACCATATTCTAAAAAGGAAAGAAAATGAATCAGAACACATTTGCCAAGTGTCTAATGACAGTAACTGCAGGTAAAAGACTCACTTCTTCTCAAAAGAAACCATGCCAATCTCTCCCACACCCAACAACCTCTGCCAGCGGGATTCCTTCCAGCCTGAAGAGTTAATAAAGTAAAACTTTCTCCTCTTCTGAAGTTAGAGAAGGGATTCATCACCGCTCTGGGTTGTAAGTAAATAAATAAGCCAACAAATATGGTAACTACCATCGGTTGACTGGGGAATTTTGGCTCTAGCAGGAATGTGACTTCTTTTTTTAATCTCTTGTCCTTCTCTCTTTTCTCTCCTGTGTTTGTTTCTCGTGCCCCCTTCTCCACGCCCCTCCCCTCTGCTGCTCCTGGCTCTTCAGACTTGTGACAAACGGAAGCGACTCCTCCGGGACCAGACAGGAGGCGTCCTGGTAGTGGAGCTCTCCCTCCGTAGTAAGCGTCTCTGTTTTGCGAATGGTTGAGTTCACTCTGGGCTGCGTCCACAGGCACAGCCGGTTTGAGCATTTTCACCGAATTGCCAAACCAGATGTGCCTGTAGACACTACCTTCACCTGCAACTCAAGGCTTTCCAGCTGGGGGGCCGGGAAGCCGTAGCTCATGCCAAACCAAGAAGTTGAGGTTTGTGAACTACCCAGAAACGCTCTCTCTGTAGCCTAAATTCCAATGCCCCCCAAAGAATTTGGAAGTGCTGTGCTTCCGGGCAGAGCATGCGGTCAACAATCATAAGACACAATGAAATGTACTGGGATCTAGTGCAAGTCAACAAAACTTTATAGAGCAGCCAGTGCTGGCCCTGGGCAGGGCTGGGCACTGGGGTTTCAGAATTAAAGGAGACCCACATGGCCCTTGTCTTCAAGAACTTACGTCTAGCAAGGAGAGAGTTGCTAAATGCCAAGGAAAAAGCAGATGACTGTCAATGGGGGGTGGGTGAGGCAGTGTGCCATGGGAGTTCATGGCAAGGGGATTCACCCCAGTCCAGGGCCTGGGGAAGATCTCCGTCAGTGATCTTTCAGTACAACCTGAAGAGTGATATGATGTGAATGGTGAGCAGGTCCTGTGGGAAGGCTACGTACCATGGAGGACAGTTGCTCTACTATGACCGGGGACCCAATCCAGTTTGCGGTCGGATGTTTTAGGGCCTACAAGCTAAGAACAGTTTTTACCTTCTTAGATGGTTGGAAAAAGAATCAAGAGAATGGTATTTCATGACACATATAAATGATAAAAAGAATCAAATTTAAGTTTTCTATAAAGTTTTTATTGGAACACAGTCACATGTGTTCATGTAGGTGTTGTCTACAGATGCTTTCACACTGTAACGGCAGCGTCCAGTAGTTGCAATAGGGACCATCTGGCCTGTAGCTAGAATATTTACTATCTTGTCCCCTCCCAGAAAGTTTACCAACTCCTGCCTTAGAAAGCCAAGGAGAAAATGGTTTTCTTCTTCTTTCAAAGAAGATTTGTGCTAACTTTAGGACACAAACTTTGTCCTAAAGGCAATGGGAGCCTGTTGGTTTAATCAGGGGAAGATATGGTCAGGTTTGTACTTTAGAAGCATAGCTCTGAGGCTCCTTCCATGATCTTTTCTTAAACCTTCAGCATTCTCTCTCTCTTTACTCATTACAGGCAGGGGATTCCCCAGTCTCTATAGCTTCTCAGGTAAGGAAAAGAGGCACCTCTGGGAAATGTCATGGGGCAATGCCTTTAAAACGTAGACGTGTGTTTTAACAGAAGCTTCCCTTTGGCCCCAGCAAAACCTTTAGGACTTGAAAATTGCTTTTTAAAACACACCTGAATGGGACGGAGTGGGTGGCGGTAGAGGGATGTCTCTCCAGGTGGCCCCAGAGCTCTGCAGGAAGCAGGGGGCTGGGGAAAATTGGATGAAGCAGAATTGGATCCCACTTCTCAGCAAAGCATCACCAGGGGCTTTGCTTGGGTTCCTGCATTTAGGGAATGTGATTTTCAATGATCTATTTTTTTCAACAAGTATTTCTGAGTCCTTGCTGTGATGCTGCCCCTCATTAACCGAGTGACCTTGGGCAATGAAGTCATCCTTCCACTCCCCGGTTTCCCTCTGCAGTTGGGCTAATAATTGCTCCTATCACACACAGGTGCTGTGTGGATTAAATGTTACAACTAAAGGCACCAGACAGTGCCCAGCATACGGCAAACCTCCAGTAAAGATCAGTCGTACTTATTCTCCCAGGCAGTGGAGCACCTGCAGGAAGAGATAGGCAAAGCCCCTGCCCTTCCCACTAGTGTGACGCGTTGGGGTGGGGGTTAGAGGAATGATTTAGATAGCAGCCAGGGAAGCCTCTCAGAAGAAGAAACATTTCAGCTAAGCCCCAAGATCTCACCCGAATGATGAGAAGAACAACTATGTGAGGAGATGGGGTAAGACGATTCTGTTTATTAATAAACTCACAGATCTAGACTTTGCTCTCACAATTACAGGAGATCATGTAAACCAACTTTTTAAGACTCTAATTCCAGATCCTCATTTTTAAGGAAGTTCTACAGTGAAAGCCCTATGGTGAAATGTGCTATCACCGTGTTATCCATGTTCAGATTCCCATTGGTGGGAGGTCCATTACCCACGTTAATCTGCTGGGCTCCTTGCACCGACAAAACCAAGCTCCGGAAACCCCAAAAGATAAACAAAGCTGATTTTGTACAAAATGTGCAGAGTCCTATGTAAACCTACTCAATGCCCCCGAATAGACTCTTTTGTTGAGTTAACTCTTTGTCGCACTGTCCTCGCTCCATGTAAACTGTTTGTGTCTGCTTTCCTATCTGGTTCACAGATGTCCTCTATCACCTCATCGTGATGTTGGGGATTTGTGCCGTGTTGTAGGAGATCGCCAGGCAAGCAGTGGCATCTCCTCCACCCTACATCATCTCCTGTGTCATTGACAAATTCCCATTTATTGTGCTGCCAACAAGAACAAACAGAAGAACATACTGTTGAGGAGCAGAGAATAGCGCTTTGCCAATTACGTGTTCCAATGATTTTTGTGAATTTCGGTGAATTTTGTGAATTTCGGTGTCTTTGGTGCCCTATTTCCTCTTGTGACTTCCTGTGGTCCTGAGATCCTGCAGTCTCTCTTCCGCAGCTGGCAGAGGAGTCTCCTTTCCCCATGCTCAAGTCAGGGCTGCAGCAGACTCCTTTGAAAGCTATTCTAATTTTGAAAGCCTAGCACACCCAACCAAATGCAGCTGAACATTTTGATGAGAATGTAGGGCATAACCACCAAGTCAGTGCTGAGTACAGAATGCACAGGAATAGCCAATTTTGCCAAGAGGGGGCCTTTGTCACTGACGCTGCTCAATGCTTATTTAAGAACCAGGGCTGAGCCACCAGGCAGGGGGTTCCAGTCTTTCAAATGATGATATGTGGGAATGAGAGTGGACTATAATAGTTTTGCTTAAACCTGAGTATTATAAAAGAAAATAATTCTTGAGAGGCCCCTGGGGCTAACCTGATTTGTTTTTATTACAGTGTTTCTTCAATATGTTTAAACATTAGGGAGGTGTTAACTAACTCATTTTGATATTGGATTGATTTCTAAAATCAAAAGAAAATGACAGATGAAATTGGAATAAAGCCACAAAAAGAATAAAACTCACATTAACATAAATTTAACACCATACTGTGTCATTGCCTAAATGTAACCTGCTGCTGGCCACACTGGAGTGACATTTGTGACAAGTTCTCTGGAGTTTATCAACCCAATCCTACTGTATACCTTGAGATGCTCAATGTTCTCCCTATTGGCTTTCTATTTGATCTAAGAAACCACAGGTACCAAATGGTCTGACTTCATTTAGCCTTTACTCTCACAGTGAAGCAGGTATCTGTTTTTGTCTCATTAACTTCTGATCATCAGAATGGAACCTACCAAAAAAAAAAAATCAGAAACACAAATGCAAAAATGGCCAGTGAAGTCACTTGGTGCCACACCCTAATAATACTGCCACCCCGGGGCGCCTGGGTGGCTTAGTCGGTTAAGCGTCCGACTTACGCTTAGGTCATGATCTCGCGGTTCGTGGGTTCGAGCCCCGCGTCGGGCTCTGTGCTGACTGCCAGCTCAGAGCCTGGAGCCTGTTTCAGTCTGTATCTCCCTCTCTCTCTGACCCTCCCCTGCTCACGCTGTCTCTCTCTCTCTCCTAGAAATAAATAAAAACATTAAAAAAAAAATACTGCCACCCCAAAGATCCAGAAGATGTTGATTTTAATGATCCACATTGCCAACCGAATAAAAAATGTAAATGAACCAATCCTCATAGACAACTGGCAGATCCTTAGAAGCTAGAATGTGACAGAAAAAGCCAGAGCTCTACTTTTTTTTGCTTAGTCTTGTACAGACTTACTTAGTGTCCTTAGAATTTGAAAACACACTAGTTTGTATCTCCATGTTTAATGTATTTGAGAAGTTTTGAGATCCGTAGTTTGTTGGGTCTTTTACAACTGTGTTAAGAAACTCAGACATCCAGCTAGTTCCCACATTTGGATCATATGCAGTACGTGTTTATTTAGCAACAGACTAGATTCAAACGACTCAAGGTAGCTTAAACTGGTCTCAAAGCTGGAGTTCCAACTAGTTTGGGATCTTTTCTTCCTATGAACTCAGAATTTTTATAGTCAGGAAGGACAAAAGACATGTTTTATTGGTTTTAGTCAAAAACTCTTAAATAGCATAGAGACATTATCATAAATCTTTGGCTGTCAGAGTAAAACAATGCTGTATTAGTTTTACCTTATTTTATCATATTGTTTATCAATATTTTATCATATTGTTTAATGATCTTGTATCTCTACCTGGTGCTATGGAATAAATAAAATGCCTTAAAATAATTAACCTCTGGCTACAGCTTACTGTGTTAATATATCACATTGATAGCCAATTCCTCAACCCTTCCAGAGGTTTCTACAACTAGAACTTATTAGACTCACATACATACCACAGACTTTCCATCATTCTATCCTACGTGTATTTTCCAAGATTTCCCGCATTCAGTTTCTGATGCAAGGAAGCAAAGCCTTATGCTCTCCTTATCTCTAATGCCCTAACGTCAGTCACCAAAAATCAAAAATGCTTCAATCTCAGGTTATCTAAAGTCCTTTCATGTCTTCTAACTTCTCTATCAAGGAATTAAGAGAAATTCTGTTATAAATCCAATCTGTTATAAATTCATGTGAGTGCTAGACATAAGATATAGTTATAGAATAAGGAAAGAGGATGTGTTCCCTTAGGAATCCTTGATTGACATAGAAAAAACGTTGGATGTAGATTTTAGAAAATTAATCTCATCAAATTCCCTTCTGATCCTTAAAGACTCTCTCTCTCTCTCTCAGAACTTAATAATATAAAGAAAAACTAGACAGACATGCATATATATACACATATATACTGAGTATACATACATGAATCTCTACCTATTAATCAATAGATATAAATTTAGATAAACGTTTCTGTGTGTATATATGTACATGTGTGTGCATATGTGAATGTATGTACATGTACATATGTAGATATATGTATTTATTATGTTTGTATGAGCATAGATGCCAAATGTTTATAATGTTCAACGAAAAAGGCAGAAGTAGCAAAGTCTTTATTATATAAACATTACTTGTATAAGTACTTGGGCTAGAGCTGAAAGGCAACAAACACAGGCACTATATACAAGTACAGAGCTGGGATAATATTAGACAATCACTATGTCCCACCCCACCCCTGCATCTGTGTGTCATTTTCTAATGCTTTTTAAATGCAACAACAATGGACTGCTTTGTTCCTTCTAGTTTGGTATATACCTCTATTGGTCCTTAATGTAGCAGTACTAATAGTTGTGCCACTTCCCTTCAACTAAATGAGAGCTAAAGATCAAGGAAAGTGTTATATCATCATCTCCCCCTCACCTCACACCCACCACCATGCAGTACCTGGCAAAGAGCAAGTGCTAAATAAATGCTCTTTGAATTAATGAAATGTCATATGGATGGATGGATGGATGGATGGATGGATGGATGGAGAATGGCCTATCTCTCTAAGAAACCTCATAGCAGAGGTTGTTCTGTTCCCTTCCATGGTAGAACAAAGTGTTTGGAATCCAGAAGCTCTGGACTCAAATAAGGGAAGAAGTTCTGAAGGATGAGAAGATAAATGTTGGCCATTGTCCCTATGCTGAGATAGCAGGGGAAGCTCCCCTGTCCCTTTCATATAAATGCTATCTTTTGACTAACGCTTTCAATCCTTGATTATAAAGGCCTATGGAGAGGATGAGAGCCCACCACAATAAAAATGGAATCATGTTAGAGAAAATGGAGACCGTGAAGGTCCTAGAGCTCAGTTGCCTATCTCTGGGTGAAAGACAAGTCCTGTCAATGGAAACACAGAGTAGTTCCATGGAGATGGGACTGTTAGTAAGGCACTTCCTTTGGCCCCTATTTAGTGTCCCTCTTCCTTAAAAAAGGCAAGAATTCCGCCAAACTTTTTGTAAAATTTGTTATTAAAGGCTCTCAACTCACTGAGTCTTACAGTGAGACTGAAATTCCCAGTCAAGGGAGATTCACTAGGAAAAGGTCTCAAACACAATATATCATCTGCCACATTCAAGAGCAACCACAAGGGAGATAATCTGGATGTGAGGAGTTGCAAGGGATTAAAACAAAAAAAAGGAGTGTAAATTCATTAGTGGTACAGTAAGTCTACTACAAGAAACCACTTGACAGGCATGATGGAATCCTATTCTTTATGTAAAGGGGAAAATATTTATAGCAGAATGGATGGGTTCATCCTGGTCTATCAGAGATTGAAAAAAAAAAAGCGATTCATTAGTGAATGAAAAATTCCATTTAAAATTCAAGCCTTGATGGAAAGCAAAGCCTGTCTTTGCTCCTTTGCTTTGGATAGCAAAGAAATTAAGCAATAAATTGAGATGGGACATTTCCATTTGGAAGCTGCAGCGCTCACAGAAAATCTGAGCTCAGGACCAGGCCTTCCAGGGACTGACTGCCAGGATCTGGTGTGCCCGGAAATGGCCTGATCCTGTTCAGTGATCGTTCACACCTTAGACAGAGCTTTATCCCTCTAAAACATCCCTGAGATGCCTTCTGATAACTAAGGGTTAGAGAGCAGCCCCTTGCAAAGAAAGGCAGTGCAGGGTGGGGCCAGCAGCCTCAGGTTTTGTTCTGCAGCTTTCCTCTCTCAGAATGAAATTGGGTTCACTGCAAATTCACAAGCTAATAGGCCGGAAATATCTGGCAGCCGGAACAAGTTCACTGGCAGGTCTGGGAGCAACAGCCCAGCCCTGGTCCACCAGGAAATGAGTTCAGTATATTCAGCTCTTCCAACTAACTCCACATTTGGTCTAGGCCACAGAACTCTGGGGCAGGCTGGGGAGGCCAGCTAGATGGCTCCACCTACTGGTAGATTAGCTCAATACCCCAGATGTACACCTCCTGAATGGGATCTTTAATGCATCCGACAGAGTGGTCTTCAGACTTTCATGGGCCCCCATGAACATCTTTAAAGAAAATACCTCAGAAGATCTCTGGGACTTTAGCTTCTTCTTCAGTAAATTGGGGGAGTGGAATAGTAAAGCCTTCTTTGCCTTTCAGCCAGAAAGTTGTTTGTTCTCCTTTGCCCTGTGGGAGGCAGAAGAGAGTGCTGGTGAGTCACAGAGGAGGAAAGGCTGCCTGTGAAGTGTTGGCCTCTGGGCAGACAACTCAGTGCCCCTTGCTGGTTTACTGAAAACGTTGTTTCTTAGCCAAAACTGCAAACAGGCAGGAGCTGCCTCAGTGAAGGAAAGGCTTCGTTACAGATGAAACCTTGATTTCCTTGGGCTTTG